GTGTGTGTGCGTCTGTGTGAGTGTGTGTGTGTGCGTGTGTGTGTGCGTCTGTGTGTGTGTGTGTGTGCGTGTGTGTGTGTGTGTGTGTGTGTCTGTGTGTGTGTGTGTGTGTGTGTGTGTGTGTGTGTGTTTGTGCGCGTGTTTGTCTGTTTGTCTGTGTGCTTCTGTATGTCTGCATATCTATGTGTCGGTTCTGTGTATGTGCCGGTATCAGTGTATCAATCTGTCTATGTGCGTGTGTCTGCATGCGCTTGCACCTGACTCCATGCTTGGCGTGCGTGTTCCTGTTCGCGCCGTCGAGTTCGTGTGTGCTCGGGTCTTTTGCATGTTTGTTCAACTTTTGGGTCCCCAGTTTTTGACACATAATTACCCATTTCTTGGCGAGACGTTCCCCTCAAAAATCAACGCATCATCATCCTGAAACAAACAAAGGTCACTACAGGGCAAAGGATCCACCAACACCTTTGTCCTTGCCCTTTGACTCAACACACTTCTTTGCCCATTACTCCCTTGACATTTGGGTGTTTTTGGAGGGCGCCATAGGGCACCCCTAAGTTGGCTAGGGAAGCCAAAAGGAAAACACGAACGCCATATTTGGTGCTCCGTTGACCTATTTTGAAACTACATGTCGCTCGTCTCAGAGGGCGGCGAAGGTGTCGAAGGACGAGAAGCTACCGCCCGACTCGAAGGAGACCTGCACCGGACGCCAAGCGCTTTGCAAAGGCAGTGCCATGCGGTGCCAAAATTGATCATTTTTGGGGGAAATGAAGAGGAAACCAGCCATAGGGGAGCCACGGTTTCCTGAAAAATGTTTTCCTGATTGTGTGGTGACATCCCATGGACATGACAATGGGGCGACATGCCTTCAGTCCGTGATAGACTCTGGTCCATGATGAGCCTAGGTCATCGATCACCTGAGTGCAGACTCCTCCAACTCTTCAAGTAATTATCACCTTGCAACATCGACAAACCAGCGGTGCTACAACGGCCTGCACTTTCACATGTCGCCACACTCAAAACTCCTTAAGTCACCAACCGTCGTTAGCCGTTTTAGCCCTCTGAGTTTCAAGCTGTAGATCGGCTGTGTTGCGTCCAATCACGAACAGCCCTTACGGTGATGCAAGCCACCTGGCGAGTGGCTGGAGGCAAACGAGTGTGAACTGTTGGGCGCACCCAACCCAGGAAGGAAATTGGTTCTACTACAATCTAGAAAAGTTTAGACAGCCCTTACTCCAATCCTCAGGGCAAGTAGAACCACATACTAGAATGGCCGAGGGAAATCGGTTTTCGGCGCGTGAAAGGAAGGCACCTGCCTGAGAGTTCGGCGTGTCGGCCACAGAAATCCTCTGACCATTGGGGTCTGGCTGGCAGAATCCCTGGGCTGCGAATTCTCCTAGCCAAGTGAGTAACATAGAAACCAGCTACCGGAAATTCTACAAGAAACTAGCCAAGCATCGCCCTCCAAACACAAGGGACAAGGATTCCCTGCGGAATTTCCTGTAGCTGGCTTCTTAGAGAACTGCCATCCGATCCACTTAGTCACAGGCTTGGTTTGTGTAGAAGATATGAACTTTGACATCTGCACCAGTCAAGCGCAGCCTCAGGTGGTGTTGTTTGGAGCCCTTGTCGATGTGGATGGCCCAATTTCGCAAACGCGGATCGGCAGCAGGGATGCATGCAACGCTCGGCGAATTAATCAATGCTATATTAAACCCATCCCAAGTGCCGATCGGCGATAGCTCAGCTTCGCACGTGGGGCCCTGAGGACCGGCAGCAGAATCCGTCAACATGATTCCTTGGCTCGTCGGCTCAAACCGCAACAACTGCTTTTTGTGCGAGAGGGCATCGGGAGATCGGGTTGTGCCCCTGGATTTGTTTTGAAAATGTGGGTTGCCCCTAGTCCTCTCGAAACAAAAAGTAGACTGTAATACTTTCAAGGGTCCGACGCAAGTGTCAACTTAGCTTGCGATAAGTCGAGCACCGATGATTTCCAATAAATAAAAGACTTCATTTGAAATTTGTTGCTTTATCTCGCCTTTTGCTTGTCATGCTTGTAAAAACCACAGCATCTTCTATCACAATTGCACGCATTTGCGCATTTACACAAGCACCATCAACATCGTCAGCATCGTTTTAACACCCCTAGCCTCTTAGTTCTGGTGTTTTAAGGTTGTTTTAGGGCTTATTTAGAGTAGGTTTGTGTGGGTTCGTGGCTTGTTTGTGCAGCGTAGCTTTAGGGTGGAATTAGTCCGGGCTGTGAGCTGGTTTCGGGTGGGTTTAGGCTTGGTTTAGCGGCGGTTTAGCAGTGGTTTAGCAGTGGTTTAGCAGTAGCTTGGGCAGGGTAGGGGTTGGCTCAGGGTGTGCTTTGGCTGTAGGGGCTTGCTTGCTTTTAGGGTGGGTTTAGGCCTGGCTTAGGTCTTTTTTGGGGTGGGTTGGAGGCTAATTAGGTAGGTTTAGGATGGGGTTTAGGGTGGGTTGAAAGTTGGTTTAGGGTTGGCTTAGGGTGGGTTTAGTGCTGGTTTGGGGTGGGTTTCGGGTTGGCTAAGTAAGGGTGTTTGGCGATGCTTGAGTGTTGCTAGTGAGAAAGGGTTGCAGAAAGCCAAAGCCGCCAAAGACCGCCAAAAGCAACACACAACCCCACCCCCACCCCCAAAAAAAAAGAAGGCTGCAAAGCCAGGCCGAGAAAACCGAAAACACCGAGAAAAAACACGATCGAAAGGCCCTCCATTTCCAATCATCCAAGCTTGCGCTTTCTAACTCGAGTCCATCAATTCGAACAATGACTCGCATGAAGGCGGGGGGCGCTCATCGAAGTTGCTGTACCGGTAGTCCAGTAGCAGCCTTGACACTATTTAGCTGTCGTGCGTAGCATGCAGGCAAGAGAACGTCAAACACTGTGATGTGGCTCTTGCAAGGAAACAGCAAGAAGCACTCCCACCTGGAATCGGTATCTCCGAACTCATCTGTCTTTGCTGCCATCAGAATCTGACAGCTGAAGCAGTGATGCAACATGATGGCAGGGTTTGCCTTTTCCACTCAAATGAACAGCCTCCCTTGAGAAGGGTTTCGACACTACCAGGGCGGCTGCTTCTTTGCCCCACAAACAGTGGAAAAGGCAAACCATGGCAACATGGCTCACACATGCATGGTCAAAACCGCTTAGTGGGTCATGGCTATGATTCCCTAAATAGGAAAGCATACAACAGTTCTTCAATGGTCCACTATCCCTATCATTCCCGAGTACAGCTGGGTGAAAGTAGATTGCACAATTCCAGGCAGGGTAAGCAAAGGATGAAATTGTGCCATGTACTTTCACCAAACTGTAAAGGCGGCACATTGGGCGGCACCTGAAAGGGGGCCATGTTTTGAGAACGCGCAATCTGTCAACCGATCACACCATCCCCAAGGAATCGGATTGATATCACACATTTCTCCATCCGATTTGACCGATCTGCCTCTGCAATGGACAAGGCGACCATCTCACCGGGCGCGAATCTCTTCAGCACGGTTCCGGAATGGTTCAGCAAAACCTCAGAAAGAAAAAATGGGCGGCGGCACCAAATTCCAACCACAACAAGCCCTTTGCGCTTACATTCTTCCAACACTCTCCGATCGTCAGCTTCCATGATTGAAGGGAGGATAGGCTGAAGTAGTTTAACAATGACCAAACAACCTTCCAGTTTTGAAGAGCTATGAGCTATAGGTTGGAGTGCTACCCTTCGTCAAACCAAAGGTTGCCTTTGGGCTAGGAATCTTTCGCCCCTAGTACTCTTCGGCTCCCGGAACGTCACTGCTCCCTCCCGAATGAGCATGGACCCGGAAAGGGTTTGGAGTGCCCCAAAGGAGATTCCTCAAACGTGATGCTTTGGGCTACGGGTCTTTGGGCTTCCTATTATTTTCACACGCAATTTCTTCCCCCCGAAAGAAAAATCAGGAAAAACAACAGAAAGCGGTTTCCTGTTGGTCTGGTGCCAAAGGTCCCGGTGAAACGGCAACATTGTATCCTGTAAAGAGCCCTGTCAATCTGCAACGGATTGGGCTCTGGCAGTTGTCACAGGTTCAGAGCTGGAAGCGCCATCACTGCTGCCAAAGATGGTCGGCCTGACAGCTTCGCCAGCTGAGCATCCGAAGCCAAAGCAACTGTTAGGGACCAATGAAAGACCCCAGCTCCCGAAAGGCTCTCAGAACCTTTGTCGAAGGGTTCGGGCAACCTTGTTGTGGATCTGGCCTTGTTGTGGATGGGGTCTCTTGCTCTCTCTCTCTCTCTTGCTCTCTCTCTCTCTCTCTCTGTCTCTCTCTCTCTCTCTCTCTGCAAATGCGGTTGCATGGCTCACTTATACTGAAGCGCTTTCAAAATGAAGGAAAACCTGGAAGGAACCGGGTCCCCTCCAGGGTGAACACGCATTGCAAGACACCGGACGAGGCTTGGTGCTCGGCATGCTTGCTTAAATTCAGAGGTAGGACGTGCTTACGCTATGTTAAGACTGCATCCTGCTCTAGTTCTCTCAACTTATGTCTGAAGTGTCTGCAGGATACAGTCTGCAAAAGTCAAACACGTCGCACTAATTCACAAAGAAGGCTGCCTGACTGCTCAAACGTCTCAAAACTGTCTGCTTGCTGGTATTTTACCACTGGTGTCAGTGAGCAAATGCAGCGTTGCCTTCGTTCTTTGCACTTTACACTTCGTACTTTACATGCAGGCTCATGGCACAAAAAATGTGTTCGGCGGCATCTTGCTCGCCTACACATAGGATTCAACCTTGCTCTCGGAAGACTGGCTTGCCTCGCTCGTCTCGCTCGTCTCGCTCGTCTCGCTCTGAATTTCCTGAGTGATCAAAATGAACAATCACCCAATGACAATCCTACCGGGGTCCTTCACCAAAGGGACCCCTATTAAACTGCACATCCATACGATGAGCCCAAAGCAGCAACACGAGAATGTGTTGGCCGTCATGTCATTTCTGCATGACATGCATTCAGTGACTCTTGCTGCGCTGTCGTTACCACACCAAATAAAGTCGATGTGTATGCCTTCCGGACATGAAGCAACTTCTGGATAAAAGCTGATGGCACTCCATGGATGGCGAGAAGTGAGCATGGTGGTGATTGAGCAAAGCTTCCGCATAGGCCGAGGGTTTCTCACTCGTCCAGAACCGGCGAGAAAGGATTGAGATTCCAAGCATCAGTACCAGAAGCAATGTACCCAAATCGGCGACGATCGCCATCCACAACTTCAAGTGGCCTCCCACACCCCCGTTGGAGGAAAAAGGCCACGCGTTTTTTAGTTCTTGACTTTCGATGGAGACCCCCTGCACCAAAAGTGACAAACGGGGGAAATGGACCAACCCCCCAAAATCGATTCCTCTTGGCACACCCATTCTATAAGCATAAAACTGGCAATTGCGAAAGATGCCTACAAAACGGCGGTTGCACACACACACACACACACACACACACACACACACACACACACACACACACACACACACACACACACACACACACACACACACACACACACACACACACACACACACACACACACACACACACACACACACACACACACACACACACACACACACACACACACACACACACACACACACACACACACACACACACACACACACACACACACACACACACACACACACACACACACACACACACACACACACACACACACACACACACACACACACACACACACACACACACACACACACACACACACACACACACACACACACACACACACACACACACACACACACACACACACACACACACACACACACACACACACACGCCCACGCCCACGCCCACGCCCACGCCCACGCCCACGCCCACGCCCACGCCCACGCCCACGCCCACGCCCACGCCCACGCCCACGCCCACGCCCACGCCCACGCACACGCACACGCACACGCTGCACACGCACACGCACACGCACACGCACACGCACACGCAAACCCAACACAAACACAAACACAAAAACAAACACAAACACACACACACACACATACACACACACAATATATATATATATATATATTTATGATATATACTTATATATATACATATATATACATATACAAAATGGTTCCCGAAATTTAGGGGCGTTTTTAGTTACAATGTGGTCACTACTAGGGATCTACGCCAGTGGGTCTCAATCCATGCAAACGCAAACAAATCCAAAAGCAGCAGCCCCTTGTAAAAACCTCGCCGTTTTTGAGATGCTATTCTGGGGTCATCGCTTCTTTTAACTCCTGATCGTTTGGCAGCGTTTTGAGCTTTCTGCACTTCCTTTTAGAGCACACAAAGTACACTCCATCGCGAAACTCGCAACTGTTCAGTACACAAAAACACACTTTGGCAGCTCCATCTCGAAAATCCAATATTGAGTACTAAGTGTAGTACGTGAGGTGCACTTGGCAGCTCCAGCTCAAAAGTTTCAACTTTTCAGCACAAGTGCGTGCGCAAAGTACACTTTGGCAGCAAGAGGCATTTTATGCGCCAATCATGATCGTTTGCGCTATTGTTTTTGGTCAGCAACCAAGTCTGGCTTGTTTGCTGCTTAACAAGCTATGTTTATTCAAGCGTTGTGCAGGGAGGTGAGACGTACCAGTTTTTGACACGAGGCACTTAAATCAACGGCTTTTTGTTTAACCTCAAGTGTGGGCCTGATAGAGCAAAGCCAACCTCCACAATCTTCACCAGGCAGGGAATGAAGATGTTCGCCCGCTCAATCCAAATTGCATAGCGGCAAAGCCTCATGGCAACCAAGCAAAGGCGCCTGTTTCGGGCGCTGTGCCCTTTAGCTGATTTCTGGAAAAGCCGAAAGCCCGCCTCATGCATTGGGGCAACCTCCCCAGCTTGTCGGTCATCATTACCATATCTGCCGAGTTCGCCGCGAGTGCGGCACTGGTTTCCCCCATTGCAACGCCCACGGATGCCACCGCTAAAGCGGTTGCATCATTGATGCCGTCGCCCAGCATTAGGACAGACTTGCCTGCGCTACAGATCTGCGGGGACACCCGTTCGGATTGGACATGCTCAAGACAAACATGTCAAAGCTAAATCTTCCACTTGAAGGGAGCTGTTCTTTCCTGAAGGCTCTCAGGAAAAGAAGCGCATCACGTCGTACTTTCCATGAGGTTGTTCCCCAACTAGCTTTAGCTATCGGGGTTCTGGTAGGGTTGGGCTGCGGGTGCTGCTCAGGGCGCTGGTCAGGGTGCTGGTGATGTGGGTGCTTGTTCGGCACTGCAGTCAGGGTGCTGGTGGTGACTGTTGGCTCTGCAGTCAGAGTGCAGTCAGGGTGCTGGTGACGGTGCTGCTTGCGTGCTTAAGGTGCTGTGGTGGTTTTTGGCGGTGCTTCTTGGGCGCTGCAGTCAGGCAGCTTGTCGGGGCGCAGGTTTGGGGTCAGGGTTATAGTGTTGCTCTGAGTGCTGGTCAGGGTGCAGTTTGTTCCCCAAATAGCTGAAAGCTATAAGGGGTTTTTCATGTTCTTTCTTTTAAAGAGCCGCAGGATGTCTTGCGAGTTCGGGCCAAATTGTTGCAGGTGCTGGTCAGGGCGCTGTTCGGCGTGCTCTCAAGGTGCTGTGGTGGTTGCTGGCAGCGTCTGTTTTGCGATGCAGTTATGGTGCTGTCGTGGTAGGGTGCTATCCGTGAAGCTGTGGTGGCTACTCGTGGTGCTTGCTTTGCGATGCAATGCTGTTGTGGGTGCTGGTCAAGGTGCTGCTGTGAGTGCTTGTCAGGGTGCTGCTTAGTGTGCTCAAGGTGCGCGGGGGTTGCTGGCGCTTCTGGTTTGCCGATCAGGGTGCTGTTGCAACTGCCCATGCTATCTGGGGTCTATGCCCGTGAGATTTTTCTTAAGATTGCCCAAGGCTCGCCCATCATGTGGCAAACCAGGCATCCTCTGAGATGTACATATTTTATCTACTGATTCAAGTCAACCGTGACAAAATGTGTGGCAAATTTGATGACGCGCCTGAATCCTCCTGCTGTTGAATCCAAGCTTGCTTCTCCTCTGGATGCATCGAGAAACTGCACGAGGCGGGGTTCAGGCCAACTGACAATGCAACCTCGGCATCAGAAAATGATTTGAAACTTCTGACTGTCACACGGTTTCTGTTGGCCCAGTCGCATGCTTGCCTGCTGCTTCCGCATCACCAGTGAGCATGGCAGGCTGGCAGCCAAGAGCCTTCAACTCCCGCACCATCAACTCGGCATCACCGCGGATCATGTCGTTCAGTGCCAAACCAAGGCGCAAAGTGCCTCAGGATTCACGGAAGCCGCATGTGTTTTGGGAGGAGGTGGCCACCAAACAAAAGGTGCCATTGTTTTGCGGGGAAGGTGTATGTCCTATGGCGCCAAACCAAGAAAGGTAGGTGCATATGAATATTTGCTTTTGGGGGAAGGTGTATGGCAACGGCAGCTCGTGAATGCCTATTTTGCATCCAAGGTGCCATTGACTACCACAGCCACCGTTGTATCATCAGGGTGCTGCTGCTGAAAATTGCTGAATTTGGAGTGGGCTGAAGGGTCTGCTTGTACGGCCTCCAGGACCCGTTTGTTGCCCACTAAAACCTGTGCGAAGCTGGTTCCGGAAGATACGTTTCCCTGTATGCCAACACCTAGCAGGGTGCAGGCGAGGGCGGATTCATCCTGCTACCAACACGCTTTGAACAACCAAACGGTCAAAGCTCCCCTGCAGAGCATAGATTCCCAAAAGCTGTCAGAGGAAACTCATCTAGAACGCCTTGTTGAGTTCCATATGACTATCTTTGGGTGACCCTGAATGGGTTCAAACAAATGGGTTCCTTTCCTGGTTCTTGTTGCAACCACTTTGCAACCAAATTGACGAGGCCCATCCTAACATCCAAACCACCAAACCAAGCATCTAAAGGAAAACCACAATTTGTGTGGTCCCCCCCTTTTGACATAAATCCATGTTAATTTGCTGGGGGGTTTTCTAGCTCTGTGCCTGGCAGAACTCGAAACTTCTTGACTTCTGGTAGCTGGGCCAGTTCATATGCCTCGCCCACGCAGCCAACGGCTTTCGACACGATGGCTGCAGAAATCGGATGTGCAGATTTCCTGAGGCAGCCATCTCTCTGACAACTCATTGCTCGGGATGCATGCGGGGGAGGGGGGGGGATTCTTTCAACACCCCACAAAACACCAAAATGGGTAGCCAAAAAGACACTGGATGACAACACATAGCTGCGCACGGGAGTATCGACAGGCAGTCTACACATTATGTTGAGGCAGAAGCTGGCAGGAAGAACACCGCAACGTTTGGCGTGGCGCAGTCTAGTTCTGCTGCTACCCTCTTTCCAATCAGGGAGGTCCCCACAAAAGCAAGTTGTCTTCCAAACTGCTGCTGTCAGGTTCATTATTCTTGATCCTTCAAAGATCCACCTGCTTGCTAGTGTGTCCCTCTAAAATCAACTGGTCGAGGTGGTCAGAGCTGGCCCAAATGTATCCCTTAAGGGACCCCATTGTTGAATGAAGGATAGAGCTTCACTTAGGGCCTCATTTCTGTCTTTGACACGCAGCAAGACAGGCATGTCAGCCCATGAGCATGTCAGCCATGCGCAGAACACCGGCATTACCTAAGCAGGCCCTGGCTTGCAAACAAGTGGCATCTCTAACGCAGCTGCCAATGTCAATGGATCCACCCCTCCTGAGGCAAAAAATGGCAATACTTCACACTTTTAACACCACAGATCTGATTCATTGCAAAAGGCTGTCCACTTATCACTCAGGCTTCCTGAATCCGCGCTCTTCGGAGCAAAATCCTGCACCACGAGGACAGCAAACTCCCCTTTTGTGAGCGTGCCCGTCTTATCGAGGCCAGCCGCAGTGATGGAGGGCCTAAGAATAAGTCGCATGCATGTCTGCGAGCATGATTCCGTTGCAGCGCATCTTTGCCGTGCTCATCATCATCGTCGTCCTCCTCCTCATCCTCCTCGTCACCACCATGACCATCACCAGCAGCATCACCATCCTCCTCCTTCTCCTCCTCATCATCAGCCACTACACCAGCACCAGTGCCAGAACCACACCACCCGCACCATCGTCGTTGTCGGCGTCGCCACCACCACCACCACCACCACCACCACCACCATCATCATCATCATATGTCGGAGTCGGCAGCAGCGGCAGCAGCAACGGCTGGCGGCAGGCGGCATGGTGTCAAGCAACGTCAGAGTTCAAGCGGTTCAAGTCCCATTGGCAGCACCAAAATCAAATTGCCATCTATTTTAGACAGGTTGCAATGCTTCCACCGTTTCTGCCTTTTTGATGAGCAGGCCACGAGTTGCGGCCGCTGCGATTGCACAGGTCGTTGCCAAAGGCGCACCAATCACAATCGCGCAAGGGCAGGCAGTCAGCAGGATCACCAAGCCACGATCCAGCCAGGTTTGGAAATCTCCATTGGTTGCCAGTGGAACCAGCGTGCAAACGACCAGCACCTAGTGGCATTGCATGACAGCCATCAAACGCTTTAACTAGGGTGTTTCTCAAAATAAGGGTCTCCTTTCGGGATGGCTTTGGAGGGAGAGAAAAAGGACAAAGGAATTGGTCCCTATCTTTTCGATGTTTGTGTATTGTTTGCCTTTTCTACGGCATCCAAGGCACCACCAACAGAACCAAAGGCGTCCAAATACGAGCAAACCTTTCCAGCATCAATTGCTTGCCGGTCCTCTGCATCTGCGCCTCCTGCACCTACCGGGGGACAAAAAAGATCTGAGCCTGTTTTGCTGTTTAAAAGACCAGGAAAATCACGCTCCTACCCCCTCCCCTGATAAAACGACTATCATGATAAAATAGGGAGACCAAGGGGGACCCCCCCGAAATGATAACTCTCCATTTAATGCTCCTTCAAACCAATGAAACGGGCATCCTGAAAAATACAGGACACCCAAACAGCCAGGGTTTCCTTCTGGTTTCCCTTGTCACCCACCCCCAAGTCCCATTTTTTGAGCATTGAAAGCCCATCTCACCCCGCCTTCGCTTCCAGCTGCGAGAGGGTC